AATCTTACGATAACAAAAACTGTAAGCTTTCTAATTCTCACTTAGCGGAAAAGGGATCTTATTATGATACTATGATTTATTTTAAGAACGAATGAACATCAGCTGTTCAAAGATATGATACTCGTTACATGAGGTTTCATAAATATCCAAATCTTAAAACATTATGATTTGGAAAATGAAAATAGAATATGGAACCTGTAATTTATTCAGTTATCAGTAACCAAGGCACCAAGAAGATAGAAACCAGAAGTACACACCTAGCTATCACCCATCTTCCCGAGGCAAGGGAGTTAACTGACTACAAAAGTCCAGTTTCGACCCTTGCCGAACTAGCCTGGTATTATGGAGTTAAAGGTAGGCTGGACTAACGAGTCCAATCAAAATCGCGCAACGAAATCGAAATCCGGGTCGTAAACTGTCATGCAGATTTACGGTCGATTGCAGAATTTGCAAAGCATGTGCACCGCCAACTCGTTGTCAACAGATATTGTCCTAATCCTTTCATGTTTTTAATCAAGGTGCTCACGTGATTTGATGTTTCTAGGTTTGTCAGCACCATACCCGTGCTCGTAGGTTTCATCGAAGTGGTAAATGACTGAGACCTGCTTAACTTCGGGCTTTCCTCCCACATTAAGCTGACACGCCCTGATATAACTGGAATACTATAAAAAGATTAATTTGATCCAGGATTAGAATGGATACAACCAAAGTGTTCTCCTGAGGTCGGGAACACATCAAGGGAGATGTTTCACGCTTGTAACAGCTATTATTGTACGTTATGGAACCAATTGTCCCGTACCGTATTCAAATAGGTCCACCCTGATTGTTTGTGATCGTTAAATGTAGGCCAATGCACAGGCTCATTATATAGAAATCCGAGCTTCTCACCACCACCGTGGCCTAGTAGATAGAGCGTCTGCTCAGAGAGCGGAAGGTCAGTGGATCGATCCCCAGGCCGCGTCATACCAAAAGACGTTAACAGGTGGTACTTGTTGTTACCCTTAGCATTAAGGCTGAAACAAGGACTGATCGGCTCGGAGTCAACACACACAATGTGTTTGAGTGTTAAAACTGCGACATGACATTCCAGTGGTCTAACAGAAAAAACACCGACATTATTCCGGACTAGTACAAACAGCCCCCCCCCCCCCCCCCCCCCCCCACACACACACACGTGCACATCGCTATGCAAGTGCAAATATTCTTGAACGCCACATTTAACGCCATTTCAGCACAACACCTCACCATGTGATTAAAGCTTTATATAATTTGTGCAAATAATTTGTCCACAGTGTTTGAATTTAAAAAAGTTACCAAAATGATATGCATCAACGGCAACATATACTTATTCACTATTTAAAGCTTGAAAGTTTGAATCCTGTGTACGTGTGTAATAAAATTACATTAACGTACATATTAATGACTTCACATGTTTGAAGAATCTGATACAAGTTGAAGCGTTTTATCATTATAATGCTATATAGATGATGTTGCAAAGATCCACGATGCAGTGATACCCGTTGATGCTCCTGCTAATCGAGGCTGTGATCACTTTGAAAACTGATTAAATGACACATGGTTATAGTTTCCCGTAAGTCCACATAAAACAACACAAACACATACACGCACGCACGCACGCACGCACGCACGCACGCTTGTGGGCCAGGCTGTGTTACGCGGGGCATGGGGGTTGCGGAAAGGCCAACATGTCCCAATGTGTGTCAGAAGGATTGTGTGTTGCCTTCAAACACGAATCAATCCAAATCCATTGGTCCATTTTAAAATCGAATTTCATACGTTTCACATCACTCACAATAAATGGATACATTATATTGTATCCACTTTGAATATTTCAGTTCATGTCTTGGAATCCATTTCGTAACTGTTAAGGAACAATATATTTCGCAATCTATGTGTCCAGCAGTCTAGCACCCCTCCCAACCCCCTCCCACCATGCTCCCAACCCCCTCCCACCACCCAGCCCTGCCATGAGAATTCGGTGTCATGCTTCCCCATGCCGGCACGTTAATCAGGTGAATACAGCCTGTCACGAATAATAGATTCAGTTATGAAATATATCTGAATTTTATATTTTTATATTTATCTAAAAACTGTTTTTATTTTTTTATAAGAACCATTTTGTAATTCTACAATGGGCAGGTTAGACTCTTTTCTGTACTCATCAAACTTAGATGGACCTTCAACGGTAATGTTGCCCACCCAGTGAACTTTGAATCGCATTAAGTAAATGCGACTCACGTTGATTACTTACCCAGGAACCCCTGGGGTGGTGGAGCGTAGGAGTTAAGGCGGGCAGGAAGTGGGAATATCTTCCCTCCACGCACAGACATATCATGACGTTTCGCATACCTCGGAAGACGTGTCTATATTGTAACGGGGGTATTAATACCAACGTGATATCAAATTAGGAACATATTCGCCCAGAATATAAAGCTCTGCTTTATATATGTACAAAAAGTGGAATGGAGATATTGTATAAATGGGATGAAATCGTGCATTGACCTGAGGCTATTGTCCTCGTTGGTGCTATTGCACACACGGACATACGCAATTGTAATTGATTATCGTCTGTGTTCTATCATCGTCTCCAGAAAATCGTTATTCTAGACACAAATATCTTCTTGCTGCGTCATTGATATTCACGTGGCATTGAAGGAGAAGGAGTGTACTGACCGATGGGACAAGTGGTTATCGAATGCATATGTACCGAACACACCGAGAGCGTGCACCAACTGTTGGTATGATATATTGGGAACGGACAGAAGGATGGCAAAGAGCGTTGTGAACACAGCAGCCTTCGTGAAGAGGATTATTATGGTCATTATCTCAGCCATTAACATATTAGCTGTCTCAAAATAGTCTCTTGGACGGACATAGGATTAATCCAATAAAATCCCTCCATGAGAAAATAACGGCTGCATGGCCGGTGTTTTGGACGTTGATGTTGCAAAGGCTTCATGACGTCATCGTACCATGGTCTTGTACTCGTAGGAGGAACACGATACAATGATTTGTTTCCGGGTGCAACTACATGAATTAGTAATCATTTGTTCGTGTATTTGTTATTTAACGCCGCACTCAGCAATATTCCAGCTATATGACGATGGTCTGTAAATAAACGAATCTGGACCAGACAATCCAGTGATTGACATTATAAGCACAATCTACGCAATTGGGATACGATGACATGTACCACACGATCCCATTAGTCTCCTCTTACGACAAGCATGGGTTCCTGAAGACCGATTCCAACCCGCATCTTTACTGGTACACACGTGACTGTCTCCTGATAACACTTTGGATTAAAAGAGTAGTTTTCTGGAAATAGGCACTGGTTGTTACGCTGCAAGTTTGAGTATTTGTGTTGTCCCAGATGCCTTATTATGTGCATGTTCGTCATCAGCGCTGATGCATGCTGTCACACGTCGTCTTACCATTGTGATTTCCCGACGAACCGAACGTGAGTACTAGTCTGGACTAGACTAGACTAGAATCAGGACTCGGCAATCAGTGATTAAGATCACGAGCATCGATCCACGCATTTGGAATACGATGACATGCATCAACCAAGTCAGCGAGCCTGACCATACGATCCCGTTTGTCGCCTCTTACAACAAGCATAGTCGCCTTTTACGACAAACAAGACCTTTTTAACCCGGATCGTCACGGGAATAGTATGTATGTGAAGTATTACATGAAACTTGTCTAATGGTTAACAATGTTATGTCGAGTAAGTGAGTTTGATTTGCTTTGCTTTGTAGAGACGCAAATCGCCGCATTTATCATTTGGCAGATCACGGATATCCTTCGTGGAACGAATCTGAGACTAGTATCTTCGACCGGCCAACGTTGACACCGAAGGAAAGCACATCTACTGGGGCCTGACAGTAAACCCGTATGTATGACATCCGCCCTCTGGCACGTACTATTGTCAAAAAAGGTAGCGGGTGATCTGCGGCAAGTAGTACGATGGATATGTGCGTGTTCCGTCTCGTCTAACAACGAGTTCTAGTGGAGTTCAGGAGCACATAATATAGTACGTGCTGACGTGTTGATGACTGTGAATACGGTGACAGCAAATGATGCGCCTCAGTGTAGATACAGACAGACCTGTGGCAATGCTAGCTTTTCACAATGCTTGAGATATATTTGTACATTATTTCTCCACTTTAGAGGCCAATTCTCTAGCAGAAGAATTTATGATTTGGCAATGCTTACCCAGCTCTGACATGTTTATTTGTTTTAGAGAATTCTGGTATCGACTTGTCACACCGACCTCATACTTGTCTTATGAGCAACACGTGTGTCCAGGGATTGTAGTCAATCTCATCGTCAAGACCTGCACGTGCCTAACATGCGTACACCCTCTCTACCTGTAACAAACCGGGGGCACGGGTGTCTAAGTCGTCTAAGGCGCCGTAATTCGCTGTGCAGAGTAGCGTCCCTTGGGCACGCCAGAAACCTATGATTGTGGGTTCGAATCCCGGTTTGTCACGATTATGTTTCTAGTTTTGTCAGCACCATACCCGTGTTCGTGGGTTTCACCGAAGACCTGCACCAGTTCGGGCTTTCCTCCCACATGGAATACTGTTAAAAGCGGAGTTAAACCCAACTAACTCACTGTAACAAACCAAACACGTTTGTGAGTTGGTTCAGTGTATTCTCGATTACCCGGATCTGCACACCACGTTGTGTCACCTTTGAATGTTGGGGCCAATTATTATCGAACTAGGAACTCATCGTTAATACAGTCAAGGGTCCCGCTCCATAAAGCTCTACGACTATCACTATTCTCATTGTTTAGAAAGGGGTGGTCGGGTAGCCTAGTGGTTAATGCGTTCGCTCGTCACGCCGAAGACCCGGGTTCGAATCCCGACATTTCTGGTGTCCCCCGCCGTGATATTGCTGAAATATTGCTAAAAGTGGCGTAAAACAAAACTCACTCACTCACTCAGACTGGAAAGATGCCATGACTGGCGTCACATTCTCGTTGTTCTTCCTCCCTTGTCTGATGTTTTCTCTATGTTACTTGTTCTTCCTCCCTTGTCTGACGTCTTCTCTATGCTACGTGTTCTTCCTCCCTTGTCTGATGTCTTCTCTATGTTCCGTGTTCTTCCTCCCTTGTCTGATGTCTTCTCTATGTTCCGTGTTCTTCCTCCCTTGTCTGACGTCTTCTCTATGTTCCGTGTTCTTCCTCCCTTGTCTGATGTCTTCTCTATGTTCCGTGTTCTTCCTCCCTTGTCTGACGTCTTCTCTATGTTCCGTGTTCTTCCTCCCTTGTCTGACGTCTTCTCTATGTTCCGTGTTCTTCCTCCCTTGTCTGATGTATTCTCTATGTTCCGTGTTCTTCCTCCCTTGTCTGACGTCTTCTCTATGCTACTTGTTCTTCCTCCCTTGTCTGATGTCTTCTCTATGCTACGTGTTCTTCCTTCCTTGTCTGATGTCTTCTCTATACTGCGTGTTCTTCCTCCCTTGTCTGACGTCTTCTCTATGCTACGTGTTCTTCCTCCCTTGTCTGATGTCTTCTCTATGTTCCGTGTTCTTCCTCCCTTGTCTGACGTCTTCTCCATGCTACGTGTTCTTCCTCCCTTGTCTGATGTCTTCTCAATGCTACGAGTTCTTCCTCCCTTGTTTGACGTCTTCTCTATGCTACGTGTTCTTCCTCCCTTGTCTGATGTCTTCTCTATGTTCCGTGTTCTTCCTCCCTTGTCTGACGTCTTCTCCATGCTACGTGTTCTTCCTCCCTTGTCTGATGTCTTCTCAATGCTACGAGTTCTTCCTCCCTTGTTTGACGTCTTCTCTATACTACGTGTTCTTCCTCCCTTGGCTGTTGTCTTCGTTATGCTACGTGTTCTTCCTCCCTTGTTTGACGTCTTCTCTATACTACGTGTTCTTCCTCCCTTGTCTAATGTCTTCTCCATGCTACTTGTTCTTCCTCCCTTGTCTGACGTCTTCTCTATGCTACGTGTTCTTCCTCCCTTCTCCGACGTCTTCTCCATGCTACGTGTTCTTCCTCCCTTGTCAGTGTCTTCTCTATGCTACTTGTTCTTCCTCCCTTGCTTGACGTCTTCTCCATGCTACGTGTTCTTCCTCCCTTGTCTGATGTCTTCTCAATTCTACGAGTTCTTCCTCCCTTGTTTGACGTCTTCTCCATGCTACGTGTTCTTCCTCCCTTGTTTGACGTCTTCTCCATGCTACGTGTTCTTCCTCCCTTGTTTGACGTCTTCTCCATGCTACGTGTTCTTCCTCCCTTGTCTGATGCCTTCTTAATGCTACGTGTTCTTCCTCCCTTGTCTGATGTCATCTCTATGTTACGTGTTCTTCCTCCCTTGTCTGATGTCTTCTCTATACTACGTGTTCTTCCTCCCTTTGCTGTTGTCTTCTCTATGCTACGTGTTCTTCCTCCCTTGTCTGATGTCTTCTTAATGCTACGTGTTCTTCCTCCCTTGTCTGATGTCTTCTCTATGCTACGTGTTCTTCCTCCCTTTGCTGTTGTCTTCTCTATGCTACGTGTTCTTCCTCCCTTGTCTGATGTCTACTCTATGCTACGTGTTCTTCCTCCCTTGTGGTTAAAGCGTTCGCTCGTTGAGCCGAAGACCTCGGTTCGATTCCCCTCAATGTGTGAAGCCCATTTCTGGTGTTTCCCCGCCCTGATATTGCCGGAATATTGCTAAGAGCGGCGTAAAAATACTCACTAACTGTAGTTGGGGGTGATATATTACACCAGAAGCATATTTACAGTTATCAAAGAACAGATCTCACCCTAAATCAACTTTCCGAGGGGCGTAAAATACCCTGGCTAACCCAGTGCGCCATCTTGAATCAGTTTGTCCAGCACCAATTAGTTGGACAGTGATTTGGATTTACTCGGTAAAAACGTTTGCGAAGGCCAACAACGCTGAGTGCGCCAAAATAGATCTCAATATGTTAGCGACAGACGAGGAAGGAGAATTGATGAACTGAATTTGAGAACACACTGTCTTCTTCTGCAAGCAGTTTAGTGCAATCTTTCCATGGAGATTGTCTACACCATTCCTTTGCTGCACCCTCACATCGCCAACACAAGAGAAGCAATAATACACTCCACATAAGTAAAGGGTCAAGCAATTCTTTCATATTAACTATAGTAACACGATAGAATCGGATGGTCCTTAACTGTTTTTGAGAAGCATATGTCAGTGTGTGTAAAACAATGACACTGACGATCTGACTTGTCACACAGCTTTGTTTCTCATTATTGTAAAACGTCGAAGTTTAATGCGCATTATCTACTTATTGCAAACGATGTGTTTGTTTCGCCCGATTTCCTGATATGGTGCACTATACTGCCAGACTTGGTGATGGGGATGAAGAGGCGCCCTTCATGGAGGGAACTGTAGGAAAGCGTTGGGCTGTGAAGCTGTCAAGCCATGTTATCACGCATCACGGAAACGAAGTCAACATAAACCGAGACAAGAAAAGCTACTTTGAATTTAAACGACGAGCGCGTGTCAAACTGTCTTTGACCTTGGTTTCGAAGATATATTTCAAGGGTGTTTTTGTCAATATATGGTTCTTCTAAATATCAGTGTCAGTCTCTAATGAAGTTTCGCTTGCACCTAAGTAGTTCCAGCGGTCATAAAAATTCCGAACAGTACTGCACGCGGAGCTTGAAATATAATAAATGGTTTGGAAAAAAGGGTTACTTAAAAAGTATGATTTTAAAAGTGTGAACGGAAGTCAAAATAAATCCGTTATATCTTTGTTAGACCATGGAATTAGAAACGGATCCGAATCGTTTTATAAACGTTATGTGTGATGGAAACATGTTAATTGATATGACGTTTAATGCGGAGAACAGCTTCCAAGGTGAGCAAAAATTACCCGATAGAAAGTATTGTGACAGTGACAGCAAAAAATACAGTAGCCAATACAAGATAACAAAACAGCATCATGTCAAATTTTATACAAAAAAGACATAAGAAATACATAACATCAGCCAGAAATGCCTAAGTCCTTACGAAATACTAGACCTCGACTGAGGTGTGTTTCCCCGTATTTTAAAAAAAAATATGACGAGAGTTCGAACTGAGCTGCTTAACGTTGTTTTTCACATGTGCACCTCCGCGCCAAGTCCGTAATCTGATAGGTGATTCAGAGAGAGAGAGAGAGAGAGATCAAAACTAAGTCCTTTATGCACTGATAAGACCTTCCCGTTTTAATGTCATTCCGACCTTGACATGGAAGCAGGTTGATTATCGGTAAACGGTATTTGTCATGTCTACTGTGGTTTTTGATGGATTTAGATATTGGTGGTGCAGGAAGACATAAATAAGGGTGACGTTTTATATAATATGTACACACATTGTACCCGGATCTCGGGTGAGGATATCAACCAGTATATTGATTTAATGACAACATCGATAACCATGGACATATGGTGAAAGGACATCTGAGTTCATTTTGAGGGGCGAGGGCAAGGTAGAGAAACAGGTGTAACGACGACGGGGTGGAGGGTAATGTCGAAACGGAAAGAGAGGGTGGGGGTGCCGGAGGACGAGGATGAGTAAACAATGGGGTTTGAGAGTGAGGTGGCGATACTGAGTGGGGCGAGATGGGAGAAGGGTAGTGAGGAGATGGGGTTAGGAGAAAAGGGAGGGTAAAGGGCGAGGGGGGATGGTGAAGTTTGGGATACTGTGTGTCGGTGAAGATAGGAAAAAGTGATTACTGGACGAGGGGTGAATGAGGGCTGAGGGGGAGGAGGGGGGTGCTGGAAAAGGCAACGACAGCTTGAAGGAGTAAGGAGGAGGTGGAGGCTTATGAGAAAGGGTAACATTTTGTTAGCCTACAATTAACCCTTCGCGATGTTATGAACGTGGAAACAAAGATAGTTCTCCCTATTCATATCTTCGTTTTTTTATTATTTGGATTTGGTGCAAAGATAACATGAGAACATACAAGCTATCTTTAACATTTTGATGACAGGCGACACAACGGCTGGAGGTTATATCTAGAGAATGTATCATCTGTCAGGCAAAATACACGTATCATATGATGTATCAGACAGTCTAAATGCGTCAAGAGACAATTGAAACATTAAATAAAAATAACATATAATATATGGAGTATATGTGTCTGTGTCTGCCACATGTTTGATATAAGCCATATCAGGTTTTATTACCAACGGGGGCGATGGAGTAGCCAATTGGTTAAAGCGTTCCCTCGCCACGTGAGAAGGCCATTGCTAGTGTCCCTCGCCGTGACATTGCTGGAATAAAAGCGGCGTAAAACCATACTCACTCACTTATATTGTCCCCAACGCCAATAATCCCAGAAACAAACGAAAGATATATATTTGAGATTATATGAGATTACATTTTTCGCATCTGAAATTTATAAGTGTATCTATGAATCTAGCCGTTTCCATTCACTTTTTAAACATCTTGCAATTTTGATATTGCAGTGATACAAAGTTGAAAGAGTAAAGGAAGAGGCTAGAAAATATAATTGTACGCCGCTTTTCGAAGCATATTATTTAATCAGTTGACCGATCAATCCTTATCTTTCTTTTACTGAGTGGTCATAGTTAATACATTGATTACATCTCAGTTAAGATTGATGTTGTTCATAGTCATATAATAAAACATGCACAATGCACACAATTTATTTATGATCATTTTCCGCGAAGTACATTCAATTTGTCATCCCATACACAAACAGTGTCCTTAATAATAGTATTGTCATGGATCTATAATACTGTTACATGATCTGTCTATGGCTCTTAATCTCAAGCTTTTGGATTTTGTATCTTAAGCAGGAAAGAATAACCAGATCATAACCTTGAGTGGATAACCACACCTGAAGCTAGAGTGGATAACCAGATTTTAAGCTAGAGTGGATAACCAGATCTTAACCTAGAGTGGATTACCAGATCTTAAGCTAGAGCGGATAACCATATCTTAACCTAGAGTGGATAACCAGATCTTAACCTAGAGTGGATTACCAGATCTTAAGCTAGAGTGGATAACCAGATCTTATCCTAGAGTGGATAACCAGATCTTAACCTAGAGTGGATTACCAGATCTTAAGCTAGAATGGATAACCAGATCTTACGCTAGAGTGGATAACAAGATCTTAACGTTGAGTGGATAACCAGATATTAACCGAGAGTGGATAACCAGATCTAAACCTAGAGTTGATAACCAGATCTTAACCGAGAGTGGATTATCCGATCTTAACCTAGAGTGGATAACCAGATCTTAACCGAGAGTGGATTATCCGATCTTAACCTAGAGTGGATAACCAGATCTTAACCTAGACTGGATAACAATATCTTAACCTAGAGTGGATAGCCAGATCTTCAGCTAGAGTGGATAACCAGATCTTAAGCTAGAGTGGATAACCAGATCTTAAGCAAGAGTGGATAACCAGATCTTAACCTTGAGTAGATAACAATATCTTAAGCAAGAGCGGATAACCAGATCTTAACCTAGAGTGGATAACCAGATCTTAACCTAGAGTGGATAACCGGATCTTAACCTAGAGTGGATAACCAGATCTTAACCTAGAGTGGATTACCAGATCCAAACCTAGAGTGGATAACCAGATCTTAACCTAGACTGGATAATCAGATCTTAACCTAGAGTGGATTACCAGATCTTTAGCTAGAGTGGATTACCAGATCTTAACCTTGAGTGGATAACCAGATCTTAACAAAGAGCGAAAAACCACACCTGAAACTAGAGTGGATAAGTATATCTTAATATAAAGTGGATTACCTGATTTTAAGCTCGAGTGGATAACAAGTTCTTAACGTAGAGTAGATCACGAAATCTTAACGTAGAGTGGATTACCAGACCTTAACCAAGAGCAAATGACCACACCTGAAGCTAGAGTGGATAACAAATCTTAACCTAGAGTGGATTACCAGACCTTAATGTTGAGTGGATTACCAGACCTTAACCAAGAGCGAATGACCACACCTGAAGTGAGAGTGGATAACCAGATCTTAACCTAGAGT